GGGATGACTCCTGACAACAGCTCATGAGGCCACCCTGGCATTGCCTCTCTAATGCTGGTAAAGCATTCTGTCTCCCTTGTAAGTCTGCAGCCCTGAATGTAGCAGCCTTCCTTGTGCTAAGCATTCAGATCATTGGAGGAAAGTGAGGAAGCCCTAAAAGACCTGTCAAGGGATGACCTGGTTAAGTAGTAACTAACTGTGCCAGGGAGGATTTAAAAATCTGATGCCAGGATGCTGGGCACGCCTGCCCTCTCTATTCATAATCCACATTAAGTTTCTGGGCAGGTATTTTGAATTTATACTAATGTTACCCAGTAAGATTCTTTTGTTCACACCATTAGGAAAATTGGCCTTCATTGAAGAAGAAAATATTAATATGTTAGGCCTAGAAGCACAGAGCATGTCTGTATTTAATGAGTCAATGCCAGCTTCCTTAGTAGTTACCTTCCTGTCTCAATTATGGAGACATTACATTCATCAGTTCTCAAAATTGGCTGTGCATCAGAATTATTTGATGCCTTTTAAAACCCCCAGATTTGGTAGGTATTGGGTCGGGCCTGAGAATTTGCATTTCTAACAAGTTCCCAGATGATGCTGATGATGGTGACCTTGGGAGCACACTTTGAGGACCACTGTCCTAAACATTTGGTGATTTCTTCAGTGACTTGCAACCTGGCTTTTAGTTTAGAACCCAGATGGGCTAGGTTTAAAAAAGATGGTGTTGTCCAAGAAAGGTAGTAGCTCCATGGATTTTTTATTTATTTTTATTATTTTAAATATATTTTTATTGATTTCGGAGATGAAGGGGGAGAGATAGATAGATAGAAACATCAATGATGAGAGAGAATCATCGATCAGCTGCCTCCTGCACACCCCACACTGGGGATCCAGCCCACAACCTGGGCATCTGCCCTGACTAGGAATAGAACCATGACCTCCTGGTTCTTAGGTCAATGCTCAACCACTGAGCCACACTGGGGGGGCTCAGTGAATTTTTTAAAATGATTGCCATGCCTGGGTTTTGTTGGCCTGGGTCTGGCCAGCTGTTTGGAGTTGGCTGGTTCCAAAGGCTGGTGTGTGTTACCATGGTAATATTCTTCCCCATGCAGGAAGGCCCCGAGGTCGGTTTTTCGCAACTGCCCATGTGTTTTTCTCATGGCTTTTCCCATAGGGTGCTGCATCGGGGTCCCATGCCATCACTCCTGGTTGGTGTTCCCAGGAAGCGGGGTACAGTAAGGAGGCTCCAGGCCCTCTCTTTATCCAGCCTTGTAAATGAAGTGAGCTTCCTTTGTCAATGCAGGGCACAGCGTGCTGAGGGCAATGGATTAGATGAAGCTCACTTGGGTACAGAGCAGAAGTGGTTGGCAGGGGCATCCCAAGGCTGTGGGGAAGGTGCTTTCCGCTCCCTTGATTAGCAGCTCTTGCCCTGTGGAGGTGTGTCTGGATTCTCAGCTCGGGAAGGCATGCCTCCCCTTCAGCTTTTAGCATGAAGGTTATTACCTCTCTGGATGCAGGGCATGGCGGAGATGTCTGTGGCACGTGACTGCCGTGGGATTTGTTTGTTCTCCTGCCAGGGTCCTCCTTGAAGGCCACACAGATATCCTGGTGTTCTTCCCTTAGGGTGTAGCACACATGGTGTCCAGGTGGCCACAGCTCGGCAAAGGACAGTTCAAGGTGTGGCTCTGCATATCTTGTGTGGGTAGAATTCTGGTTGCTACAGGCCCTCTCCTTTCCTGGGTACCTCTCAACAGGTGAGACAGACCAATCACAGGGCCGAGGTTTGAACATCAGGGGACATCACAGTCAACTTTCAAACAGGGAACTTTAAAAAATGCTCCCCTGAACTGTTTCTCTGAGATAACTTTTTGGTCACATTGGACCAGGTGCAATGCTTTTGGTTACTCATGTCTGCCTAAGAATGGAAGTGGAAGCTAGGACAGACATGGGACAGGCACTGGACAGCGTTTCACTATTTAACCCAGGTTGATTAACAACACCGTGACTTTAGGAAAGCTTATTGCAAGTTTGTGTGACAGCCTTAGCATGTTACTTAGGACTTACATAAGACTCTCTCTTTTTGTGGTAGATATTACCTTGGGGTCCTGTTCTATAGCCTCAATGGATCAGAGGGCCCAGAGATAAGAGCAGATTCCTAACTATAACGTGTTCAAACTCAGTGGGCCTAAGGGGAAGAGATGGATGTTTACAATCCGATGTGTGACAAATGCCTGATGTATACATTCTTACATAATCCTTGGAACATCCAACTAGGACTTTTTAGGCCCATTTCACAGGTGGGGAAACTGAGTTTCAGGAGGTCGAGAAGTGACCTGCCCAAGATCACAATCTGATCAGGGAGCACTTTCCACCTCACCTGTGTACAATACTGTCTCCCACCAGATTTCCTTCTTCATTCCTTCCCACCAAAATACATCTCCCTTTTCCAGAGTATCTGTGGCCTGAAACAATATTATGAGCAGGGAGGGCTATTCACTTTTAAGCAGCTAAATCCATCATTATGCCTCTGGATTCAGATTACCAAAATGTTGTGGAACTACTCACTATACTTTTTAAATATACATTCTAAAAATTAAGTTTTAACAGACATATAGAAAAGTACACAGATTATAAGTGTTCAGATTAATGACTTTTTATAAACTGAACATACCTAGGTAACCACCATCAGATCAAAAAAATGGAAACCCAGTTATATTTTAATTCTTAAGATTCTTTTGTTTGTTTTTGCCAATATGAACCTCTGGTTAGAAGTATCTTATAACTGACCTGTCATAACATTTGTGCCACCCAACTCTGTCGCAGCAATATTTGAAGATCCCCAGAATGCTGGGTAGTAACAAGTCAGCTAATGAATGAGTCAGTCACTGATAAGCCCTGTTTACAAATGGTCCAGAACTGCAGAGGGGGACTTCAGGAAAGAGAGAACAGTAACTCCTGAGAGGACTTAGGAGCAGAAGAGTCATGGAATTTTACAGCTCATCTCATAAGTGGAGCTCAGGGAGGCTGAAGAGATTGCCCCCAACCTCACAACAAGGAAGCAGGACCAGCAAGCAGCTACACACACGCTCACACCCGGAGTACACATGCACACACACATGCACACCCCAGATGCATGCTGCTCTCTGACAAGTCCTCATTGAAATGGATCCTGACCAGGAAGGAAGCCATTGGCAATACTATCTGCACAAGACCAGTGATGTCACCACCCATGGTCACCACTCACAAACACTCCCCACCAGCTCTAGGGTTTGGTGCTCTACACCCCAAATGCCCAGATGCTCTCCCTCCCCCATTTTGCTCTCAAATGGGTCACTGGCAAAGAGACAACGCTGTTCACCCACCATGGCGTGTTGGGAAAGTTGCTGGATAAAACTAAACCCTGTCTGTGGCAGGAATATGTCATGAGTGAGGATCCCATTCAGCACAGCCTCTAGTCTCCCCAGACTGCAAAGACTGAGGGACTAAGCCAGCTGTGCCACTTCCCAGCCACCATACCACAGGCGGCCCAAGCTAGGAGAGGCTTGGCAAATGGCATGGCACTGCTTCATGACCATGTTTGTCCAGCAGTTCCTATGGGCTGGGTTGGTGCTAAGTGCCACACATGGATCTCATTTCTCCCCCTTGTAGCTCATGGGAGAGGTGCTTCTGTTCTCCCCATTTTCCAGATAAAGGATCGTAGGCTCAGAGACGCTAAATAACTGCTCAGGGTCACACAACCACCTAAATGATGGGGCCTTATTCAGAGCAGGGAAGAGCTGGTCTAAACTACATGGCCTGGCTGCTGCTGGTAACCAGCCAGTCAGTCTGCTATGTGCCAAGCATTGTTCTAGGCGCTGGGGAGACAGCCGTGAGGCAGTGGGTGCAGCCTACACTCTCACAGAGCTGACAGTTCTTGAGCAGGATCCTCTGGGGAAGAATTATCTTGGAAATTTGTGTTTCAGGAACTTTCAGAGAAAGGCTTTCCCCCCAAATTGTGCCCCAACTTCCTCTTTATCTTTGAAGCTCCGCCCCGAGTCCTGCAAGCTTCTCCCATGGGGAGATGATGGCTGAGAGCCAGGTGTACCTGAGCTTGTGTGTAGCCTTTGCCCTATGAATAAGGAACTCACTGAGCAGTCCGCTCCCTTAAAGCACCTGCCCATCCTCACGTCCCCCGGCCTCACACCCTGCAGTCTCCCCGTTCCACCCCAGGCCCTGCTCATGGGAGAGGACAGGTGTGGGCCCAGAAGCTCTTCAGCTGAGGGACTCCACCTCCATCCTGACACACCTTGTCGGGCCAGCCGACAGCACTCAGGCCAGACTGACAAGAAAGTGGGGGCGGGAGGGGGGGGTACGGCCACCCTGCTCACACAGCCCTGCCACCTCCACCTGGCCTCGTGTCTGTTATTCCCGACACCGCGCACAAAGAGCCGGGGTGCCGCTGCTGGCACTCAGCTGCTGGAGTGGGGAGGGCGAGCCGTGGTGAAAAGCTTTTCTGAAAGGCCAGGGTGGAGGCAGGAGTCACCCAGGTGATCCAGGCTGGTCCCCTGGGACCCCAGCCCAGGACCGCAGTGAAAGGTTACTGCTAATTGGCGAGCTCCTGATGTGGCTGCATCTATTTAGCACCCCCCTCCCCAGAGACTTCCAGGATGGTCTTGGCACAGCGTGTGATTCGAGAGCTCCCCGCCTGAGTCTGGCACAATCTGCCTGAAATTGTGAACAGGGAGCCTCTTGGTTTTTTAATTTGTATTTTTGTTGTTGTCACCCCCTGCCCGTTGTTTCTGGGAGACTTAGTAGCAGCAGCCACCCTGACTCTGGTAGCCCCTCCCTGGGCCCTCCCCGTGGGCCCTTTCCACCCCTCGCCATCCCCCTCCATCTATCACCAGAGACCTTGCTGGGGTCAGAGAGCAGCGCTGTCCTGCCCCCGGCCCACTGCCCATCCTGAGGGCCCAGCTCTCACCCCGCCATCATCCCTGACACTAACACAGCTTGTCCACCCTGTGCAGGGGGCAGATGGCCTGTCGGAGCCCGAGGGCATCTCTCTGAAGCGGGTCGCTGTGGTGGAAGATTTCTTTGACATCATCTACTCGATGCATGTGGAGAGCTCAGCGGAGCCCGGCAAAGCCCCCAAGCACGCTGGGCAGAAGAAGACCTACAGAGCGGTGAGATTCCTGCCCTGCCCCTGCTGGCAGCCCCGGGCCTTGGCAGGAGGCCATGGGCTCCGCACATGTGGGGGGGGGAGGGGGGGGCGGGGCGGGAACTGGGGCGTGATGAAAGGCCTTTGGGGACCCAGGGGGGCACAGGGCAAGGGCATGGCAGTCGGAGATGGCTCACAGGGCAGGGGGCGGGTTCTGTGGTCTGAGCACAAAGGAGAAGCAGGTTGAAGGGAGTGAGAGGGAGGGGAGGCGAGGGAGGGGGGCAGGAGGGAAGCCTTTCTCTCCCCATTTCTGCTTCACTCACCCCCCCCCCCCCCAGCCCTTCACAGCCTACTCTGCCACTCTGAGGGGCAGGGGTGTGTGTGGCTAGATAATGATAAGCGTAAGGGCAGGTGCTTTCATGGCGTGTACTGTGTACCAGGCCTGTCCTGCATGCTTTCTGTGTGTGAGTTTTTTTGATCCCCTACCGCCCTGTGAAGTCGGTGTTGGGAGTTCCCCAGGAAGAGTCTGAGGACCTGATCCCCAGCCTCAAGGAAATCCGTTTGATTTGGGGTGGGGAGTTCTGAGAAAAAAAACAAAAACCAAAACCAAAAACACACACAGAGATGTCTCTAAAACTAGGAGGGAACAAGAGCCTCGGTACCTGGGTATTTAGCAAAGGTATCTCCAGACACTGTGCTAAGCCAGGGGCTTCATGAAAAAGGTGGATGGAAGCCAGCATTCTAAGCTGTGGGTAGGCAGAAGGGAGGAGAGACAGCTAAATTGCTAGGGGTGGGGAACGTCCCACATGGGGAGGTGGGAGGGATGGTGCCCTGAGCACAAGCACGAGGGCCTGCCTGTGTTCTGGTTCCATCTCCCTCTTGGCCCCCATCGCCATAGCTTATGCACAGCTTTGAACCGTTTGTCCAGTGCCCACCACTAAACCAGGAAAGCCAAGCACTTCCCGTTCGTTTAAGCCTGATAGCAGCCCTGTGATGGGCTGTGGTCCCATTTCACAGTTAAGGAAACTGAGACCCAGAGAATTCAGCTACTTGTCTAAGGTCACACCGCACCTGAGTGGTAGTCAGCCAGTGTCCTCATGCCCCCTCTGTGTTGGCTTCCTCACTGGCTTCCTAGAGACCTGCGCCTCTGGGACCAGGCTTCCCCACCCGAGGCAGATACCACACCCCTCCTACCCCAAGTTCTTTGTCTAGATAGCCGTGGACTGCAGGGGAGGTGGCCTGTATAAGTCTGTACTTTCTCCATATGGCCTGATTTTTTAAAAACCCAACCATCTGCCCTGGGTGGATGGCTCAGCTGGCTGGAGTGCTGGTTGCGAGTTCAGGGTAGCATACAGGAGGCAACTGATCTATATTTTTCTCACGTCATTGTTTCTCTCTCTCTCTCTCTCTCTCTCTCTCTCTCTCTCTCTTTTTCTCTCTCTCCTTCTTTCTCCCCTCCCTCCCTGTCTCCCTTCCTCTCTCTCTAAAATCAATAAAAACATATCCTCCGGTGAGGATTTTTTTAAAAATCCAGCCCTAGCAAGTTGTTCAGTGGTTAGAGTATCTGCTTGTGGACTGAAGGGTCTCGGGTTCGATTCCCGATGAAAGGCACATACCTCAGTTGCAGGTTCAATCCCTGGCCCCTATTGGGGCGTGAGGGGAAGGCAATAAATCGCTGTGTCTCTAACACATCAATGTCTCTCTCTCTCTCTCTCTCTCTCCCTTTCTCTCCCTCCCTCCCTTTCTTCCCTCCCCTGTCCCTTCCACTCTCTGAAAATCAATGGAAAAAATATCCTCACTTCTCAGGTGAGGATTAAAAAAAGAAAAGAAAATCCAACAATCTGCTGTGTCCTTGTCCTCAGAAGATGGCCTTTGCCCTAAGTGAGTCTTAAGGACGGACCCTTGTGCCAAGGACCTTAGAGAGATGAGGGTTCAGGCTGAGGGAAGCAGGAGATTATTATACCATCTGGCCCACCTCTCCTGCTTCTCAATACATGTGGGAAAGTGTGGGAAGGGAATTGTGAGGGTATTTCCACCAGAGGGTCCTGGGCAGAGGGAGGGCCACCCAGGCTGGGGCCAATGTGGTACCGATGAGACCCAGCACATTTGCTCAGCGTTAAATTTGCCAGTGCTGGGCAGGTAGCATATGCCAGGCCCTGTGCTCGGCACTTCCCAGGCACCAGCTCTTGGTGCTGTTATCCCCATTTTACAGACAAGAAAAATGAAGGTCAGAGAGATGGGTAATCTGCCTGAGGTTGCCCAGTTGACATGCAGAGCGAAGTAGCTGGCCCCAGAGCCTGCACTCTGAGCACTACACAGCCTACCTTTCTTCAAACCCCTGTGGTCAGCTCGTAAAGCCAATGACTTGCTGCTGTCCAGGTAGATGGGCCGGAGCCAGCCAGACCATGTGATTGCCCTGGTTCCCTTGGTGTCCAGCACCACGCCTCACCTGCAGGCACCCCCTGGCTATTTATGAAGGCCAGGGGCTGTGGGCTCCATGCTATGGAGAGGGCAGAGCCAGGCTGGTATTGGCAGCATCTGTGTCCCTGGGCCAAGCGGCCGTCCAGGCTTTGCTCTGCATTTCCTGGCTTCTCGGCCATATGCCCGCCGCGTGCCCCACTTCCCGCTGCCCAGCCTGGAGCTGGCACATGACGGGCAGTGAGCCAGCTGGGCTGTGCACAGAGCTGGAATTTCAGCAGCGGGGCCAACGCTGAGTGGAACAGGCCAGGGCCCTCCTGCAGTGGGTGTGAGGCCAAGGAGGCTGCCGCACCCCCCTCCTCCCTGTGTGTCTCCTCTCCCTTCCCCCTCTCCCCCATCTGTCACCCTTCTCCATGCCACCCTTTCCCTTCTGGGGGTGGGGGTGGTGCCTGGATGTTTTTGTCCCCCTCTTTTCATCTGCCATTTCTTTCATCCGAGCCTAACTCTTCAGGCTCACTAGTGGACCTGCCCCGCCCCATCCGGACCTGGGGACAGGGAGCTCCCAGGAAACTCTGTGCTGATGGCTGCAGAGGGGACAGCCTGGCACCACAGGGCTGGTGTCAGGCTCATGGCTGAGGTGTTTGGGGACCTGTCTCTCTGTGTTTTGCCAAACCTGAATCCTGGGACTGCCTTATCTCCAGGGCAGCTGGGACTTTCGGATCCTCACAGGCCTGGGGTGCCTGCGGGAGGCAGAGGGCTGGAAAGGAGATGGGTCAACGTGCTCAGGGCATTGAAAGAGGTGCATTCTTCAGAGGGAAAAAGAACTTTCTGGCACCTGCCACTGTTCAGCAGTGGATCAGGATCAGGTAATGAGCTTTCTGAAGCTGGACGTATATGAGCTAATGCAGGGGGATTCCCACTTTGGGTAGGAAGCCCGGGCCTTACTTTTTGCCTCTGATGCAGTGTGACTTGAGGGCCAGAGGATCCCAGGAGGTCTTGCCAATGCCAGGGCCTGGGGAGGTTTCCACGCGGTTCTACAAAGTTCCCTGGACCCACATTGAGGATTGGTCCTTTCTCAAGGGGCTTTTCTGGTGCCTGCACCCATCTGGGTTAGAGTGAGCCCGTTTGCTTCCTCCCTCGCCCCCAGGGTGCTGGTAGGCAAGATCAGGTTCCAGAATCCGGATCTGGATGCCCAGACTACTTTGTAGTTGGGGCCAGATGTGGTCAGTAGCTACTCCAGGTCCACCACGTGCTAATCCACCCACGGGGCAGAAGGAGGATCTTGTAAAGTGGTGCAAATCCCCCCAATTGGCCTCATCTGTCTTAGTCGGCCGGCCTCCGAGTTGGGGAGCGAAATGGAGCCTTACAAGTCAGCGACTCTGTAAATAGCTTCTGCTCTTCCTGCCAGCAAAATCTCTCTTGGTTTTTATCACTAGGAAGAAGGTAAGAGGCAAATTCACATGTAAGTGCCAGGGTCCGGGCAGATGGCCCCGAGGAGAGCAAGGCAGCAGGCCCCCAAGGCAGCTGAGGGAAGCTAAGTGGAGACAGGGATCCTGGAGCTTCCCCTCCTTAAACACAGCAGCTCTATCTTTATCTGTTTCATGTTTTGGACTTCAGCATAAGAGTCTATTTCTGAAAACCACCATCCTACTGACTAGAGCATCCGCTGGGATTGTCCTTCTCATTTTAACTCAACCTGTGATCCTGTGCCCTTGGACGTCCGTGCATCGAACAGAAATGGAGGTTCCATTTCTCGTGTGCACAAGCCAGGAGGGTGCACCAAAAGATGCCCGCAAAAGGTCGCAGGCCCCACTGGGGGAAGCATCCTCCACGTGGCTCCCTACAGCAGTGCAGAGCTGGGCTGACTCCCCAGGGAGCTCTTAGCAAGGCCACAGACATTCTAGCCATGCAAGACAGGGCTTCCTCCCTGGTCTTCAGGCAGCTCGAAGGACCTCTCACCTATCTGCCTCCGGCCAACCCCTTTTCCCCCTCTGGAACACAGAGTCAAAGGGGGGTGCACTAGCACTCCCCCTGCATGTGGCGCTCCAGCCAGCCTTTGCATACTGCTGGGTCTGCAAGGCCAGGAGAGCTGGGGCCACCATTCTGGCCTGTGTCAGAGCCCTCTCTGGGAACCATTCCTGTACTCTCAGCAGGCCAATGGACAGCCCTCAGCAGAACAACCAGGCCAGGAAGGCCCTCTCTAGCCGTATAAAAATGGTTTCAGTGGCAGTGAGCTCCATGTGGAGAAGTAGGGCTGTCCCTATGGTATGAACCTCCCTTCATTTTACCAGGAATACCATGCCTCGGGGCACCTACAAGGTCATCTGGTTGGCCCTAGTTAGCCATAGCCCTCTGCTTTACTCCTACAGCCACTGGCCCTTCCGCAAGACCCATCCCTCCCAACCTGCAGCCCGACAGGGATGTTCTTCCCCTAAGACTTCCAGGCAGCTTTGGGCTGGGATGAAGATGTGCATGTGGGTGGCAGGGAAGCTCCCATCTCTCAGCCCTGACATCTAAGAAGGACTGGTGCATGGCTGACCACCACCTTCCCACTCACCAGCTCCAATCGGAGACCAGGGTTTTGCCCTTGTCCCTGACCTCCAAAGAAAGGCAATCAAGACAGGGAATTTGGAAGGGAGATAACTCATCAAGAAGCCTGCCTGCTCCGCAGAGCATCAAATCAGCTGAGAAATAACAATTGTGTCACCAAAATTAACTCTGCTTTTGCAGCCAGCTGCCTGGCAGGAGTGGTCCCTGGTGCTCCACAGGCTGGCTGAGCTGGGAGCACAATGGAGCTGGTCCTCTCAGGGCCTGGCTACAGCTTGGGGTGCCCTGGACTTCCTACTCCCCACCTCCCACCTCATCCATCCACTCCGCCCTGCACTACCCAGCCCCCTGGCCACACAGAGATTGAGCGGGGCGTTTGTGCATCCCTAAGGAGCAGCTGGGCCAACTTTCCCAGCTGGGTTGCAGCGAGGACTGTGGAATGCTGGGGCGATGCTGCCCCTTAGTGGAGAAGAGTGGGAGGGCCTGGGCTCTGGGAAATGGGTAAAAACCAGCAACTGGGCAGCTATGGGCCTCAGCCAGGGAACCTGGGCCTCAGAGGTCCTTCTGGACCCCTCAGGCAGCCAAACCAGGGCCAGCGGGTTTCCCAAAACCCAGAGCAAGAGAAGAGGGGTGGGCCAAGGAGCCCACCTTCCCCACGCCCCCACCCAACTTCTCTCTTGTGTTCTCTCCCATGCCCCCCCTTCTCTTCTCCCTAGCTAGGGGAGGCCCTCTGGAGGCAGGTATGGGGTGGTGTGACCTGAAACATGGGCTTCAGTCTGGCACTGCCTCTAGAGAGCTGTGTGACCTTGGGACAATAGGTTCACCTCTCTGGGCCTCATGACCTAACTTGGAACATGGCGGTCCTAAGAGTCTGTCCTGTTTGAAAAATCGGATCCCTTGGCATCAGCCTTTCACAGCTCTCCCTAGAAAGGTTCTTGATCTGTGAGTTTTCGCAGAAAATAGCTTGTAGAACCTTGGCCCAGAGCCTGTAGATTTATAAACGGGTCTCAGTTTATCCATCTGTGGGAGGGGAAATTGTTTCGTCCTACCCTAGAGCGATGCTCATAAGCTCATTTTTCAGTAACGGTCATAAAATGTTCTGCGAGGAATATTACTAGAATATAGGTTAAAGACTAGGTAATGTTTAAATGCTTTGCTTTTTTAATTTTATTCAAATTTTTAAAACACATTTTCTGCAAAAGTACTGACTCATTTCCATGACTGAGAATCGAGGACATCTGCCCCTTGCTCCTCAAATCCCTGCCCTTCCTGGCAAGGGCCAAGGGCCTGCCACCAAGTGCAAGCACAGCCCTTGTTGACGGGGTGACGAAGCGCTCCCCACGGATCCACATAACAAGCGAACCTCCTCTCTCCCCCAGATTGCGGAGACGTACGCCTTCCTTCCACGAGAGGCTGTGACCCGGTTCCTGATGAGCTGCACAGAGTGTCAGAAGAGGATGCACTTTAATTCCAACGGCCTGGAGCCCAAAGGTAGGGGAGGAGGCGGGCGTGCTGGAGGCTGGCAGGTGGGGGGGCTGTGCAGGGAGAGGCTCTCCCACCAGCAGGGCCAGCACAGACAGAAAAGTGCACGTCCAGCCGTTGTCACAATTCCCAGAGGCTGGTGTGAGTCCATGGGGCTGCCCAGAGAGCCTTGTTTTTTATTTGTTTGTTTGTTTGTTTGTTTTGTTAATCCTCACCCGAGGATATTTTCCCATTGATTTTTAGAGAGCATGGAAGGGAGGGGGGAGAGACAGAGAGAAAGAAACTTTGATGTGAGAGAGACACATCAATTGGTTGCCTCCCAATAGAGCCTGCAACTGAGGTACATGTCCTTGACCGGAATCGAACCCAGGACCCTTCAGTCCGTGGGCTGATGCTCTATCCACTGAGCCAAACTGGGCAGGGCTGTTTTTTGTGGTTTTTTTTTTAAAGGCAAGTTTCACTGAAAAACAAATAGTACATCCCTACTGCACTTCCGGGCGTGGGCCACAATTCTCCCAGGAGGCTCTGGATGGAAATGCCCCCTCGCCTGCCCCATTCCCTAAGCTCTGTAATTCTTCCACCCAGGTCTCTCCCCCAGCAGTGTCCCCTAGGTTTGGTCTTGCTGACCCAACTGTAAGCTCTCAGACGACAGGAGCACAGCCCTATCCTGTAGCCACCCAACTGCCAGCAGTAGGTCTACTCTAAGTGTTTGTCTCTCCTTGTGTACAAATCGGAAATCTAGGGGGATTGGTTAGAATTTAAAATGCCCAGAGCCCTTGTGACCAGCCACTGTTGGTCCCTTGGACCGACATCCATGCTGTCCAGCTCTGCCGACACAGTGAGAAGCAGCAGAGACCCCCACATTAGTCCCCCACACGCCGAACCCCAGCATCCCGGAGGCCTCCAGGAAGTCCCAGGGCCATCTGTTCACAGGCGGCTTAGGCACAGTGAGATGGGCCAGTGCATGTGACGGATGTGGTGTAACTTGCCCTGAGAAATGGTGCCCACACGGGGGATCTATCAGGGCTTCTAGGCTGCTCCTGGGCATCAGGCCTGCACAGGTTGCTGCAGTCCATGGGTGTTTTGCCTGAGGATGGGAATAGGCTCAGAATGAAGGGTGAGCAGCTTACTCAGGTGCCATCCTACAAGTCTGGAAAGGGAACACCAACAATGAAGCCCAAACAGGTGACCACAGAGGAACTGGAGCGCAGGAGTAGAGTTTCCCTCCTTTTGGTTGTCCCTGAGGCACATGAACGTCAGGGACAACTTCTGACACCGGCCAACTCATCAGGTGCAGAGGCTGTTCTGCCCGTGGGGCCGACAGGCCAGCGCTGCTTGTCAGGTACATCAGAGAGCTTCTATAGCTTGAGGGACAGGAAGAAATCTAGTTAATCTCTCATAAATGCTGGGTCCTGGTTTAAGAGCAGGGCCTCCAGGCCACACCGGATGAGTTAAAATCTCAGCTCTGCAGCTCAACAGATGTGTGTCCTGAACAAGTGACTTCGTCTGTCTGAGTCTCAGTTTCCTCATGTGTAAAATGGGTTAATAATGGTAGTCACCTCCAGGGCTGATGAGGCTTGAGAGTTAATTGCTGTTCCTGGCGCAGGGCTGCCACGCCCAGGAGGGGTGACCTGTGGCTGTTGCCATTGTCGTGATAACCCTGGATGCCAGGGTGAGGCCCCTGCGCCATGCGGCCTGGCCCGGCTGACTGGCTGTAGCCGCTGGGCCCAGACAGCAGTTGGTACCTGCAGATGGTACTAGAAGGGCTTTTCCTGCTGCGCTCCCCACCCTGCCCGGGCCTGGGTCCCAGGGGTGCCCACCCATCCACCTGTCCTCTCCTGTTCTGTCCTAGTCGTTTCCATAGCAACTGGGGGAGTCAGACACAGAATCTGTTTGCCTGGGGGAACAGAGGCAAGGCCAAGAGGGGCCTTTTGTGGGCTGCTCGGGTATCTGCAGGCTCCATCTCTGCTGCTCCCTTGCTCTCTGCTGGTGTGGAGAACATTCTCACCTCCCCCATTCCTCAGGGAAGGTTGCGAGGTCTCCAGGGCTGCAGTTCCACTCCTCATCTATGGGCTTCCGCGTGGCTGGGAGGGCGATGCTAGCACAGCAGCAGCCTGTTTTTTCGTAGCTGCCATCACCATGCCTCCACCCCAGGGTAGAAGGAGGGGGAGAAGGAAGGGAGGGAGGTGGGGAGGGAGAGAGCACACAGCCGGAAGGAGCCGCCTAGAATATAAACCAGCTCTGTGGGCTCTGGGCTGGGGCCTCTCTTTCCAAGGGCCTGCTCCAGGCAGGACCGAGGGAGACAGAGGGAGGCTGTGCCTGGCTCACCCTGGCCTGTCCTTGGGTGGAATGCCACTCCTTTGTCCCCAGGAGCGGAGCTTTCCCGGCAGGGAGAACAGGAGACACTGGGGAAGCAGGAGACGGGGCGCCCATGGGAGGGCGTGAGCTTGGCCTTGCCTCTGTTCCCCCAGGCAAACAGATTTTGTATCTTACTACTCAGTTGCTGTGGAAACAATTAGGACGGAACCGGAGGGCACAGGTGGATGAGTGGTCACCCCTGGGACCCAGGCCCAGGCAGGGTGAGGAGTGCAGCAGGGAACTGTTTCCTGCTGTGTGTCCCTCAGCCGGTTAGAGGACCTCTCTGAACCTCACCTGCTCATCACAGCTCCTGGGAGCCTGGGAGGTATCTGTCCCGGTTCACAGCTGAAGAAAGGAGGCATGGAGAGGTGTCATGGTGACATCACTTGTCCAAGGTCCCCAGAAGGCAAGAGAATTTGTCTTCTCATCAGCACTCCCTCCGGGGGCTATTGTAAGGCCTCAGTTGAATTAAACAACCGTGTTCTGTAGGGCGCCTGGTGCAGTGGGAACATCAGCCTGGACCCCATGTTGTTACACATGGAACCCAGACACAAGACTACCAGTGTCCGGGTGTCCCACAGGGAGACACACAGTCAGTCACCCACCCAGGTGAGCACCCTGGGTCCACAACCTAGACGCTGGGCAAAGGGAAGGGAGGGTTTGTTCCTGGCAGCTGCCAGAGGGGAGTCTTAGACTCTGAAAAGCTTCCCTGTCTGCTTAGCGGCCAGAGGCATTAGCCGCCTGGACCACCCTGGCCAGCTGGCAGGTTCTCCTTTCTCCTGCCCCAGCTGAGAGCCTGGGATCCTATCTCTGCCCACCACGCTGGCCTCTCTGGGTGCACTCAGCTGCACCTACCACTTTCACAGGCACCCCTGCCAGGCCAGCCCTGCCTCCCCCCTCTCCCACCCGCCCACAGGGAAATCAGAGCCTGCATCTGGCCACAGAGGCCAGCCCTGTGTTCCTGTCCCAGGAAGGTGGGGCAGGAGGGGGACAGGGAACAGGATGGAGAGTTCTTGAGGGGCTGCTGGGAGAACGCCTCGCTTCCTGGCCGAGGGTTAAAAAGAAAGAAAGGAAGCCAAGCAGCCTTCCCTGCTCAGCAGTTTGTCCCCGGCCGAGTGTGGGGGCCTGGACAGCCCCAGGTCCTCCCCCAGCACCAGAAGCACAAACAAAGGAGTCTGCCGAAGATCAGGAAGTCCGAGGATGGGAAATTCCAGGGCCTCCCGACTCCACGCTCTTCCCCTACCAGCTGCTGAGCAAGTCCAGGTGGAGAGGAGGCAGAAAATGAGAGCTGGTCTCTGGAGGCACGCTGCTGCTTCCCGATGTGACCAAGTATTGTTTGTACGGCTGCAAACTAGGAGTTCGCACTGGGCAGTGCCACCTACCTATGGAAAGGTTCCTTCCTCCTCAGCAGAGCCGTCCACTCAGAAGGAGGCTGCTTGGCAGCCAGGCCCGGACTCCTCTGTGTGGTTTCCACCCCCTCGGGCGCGGCTCCTCCAGGTGCCCCGCTTCCAGCCCGCTCTTCGCCTGTCGGAGGCTCCGTGCCGGCCTGCCCTCCGGCGCTCGTCCTCACTTGCTGGGTGGCAGGGAGAGTGCCTGGCTCTCCACGTGCTGTGGACTCTTCTGTGAAAGGGGGTACTGATGCTAGTCCCCACCACAGGGAGTGCTTGGGAGCATCAGGCAGAAGGGTCTGTGCGGAGCTCCTCGCGCGCTCAGTAGCTGTCAGCCGCGTGCACGCAAGTCCTGTTCAGACCCTCTCTCCGCAGAGCTGCCTCGAGTGCCTTCTCCTCTGAGCTCTGATGGACTGGCCGTCAGTCCCACCCTGCTGAGTGCAGGGACTGTACCTACAGGGTTCCCCCACCTTCCCCACCCTGAATGCGCACACATCAGTGCTCCTTGAAGACTTGCTGCTCCACTGATTGACTTCCTCCTGAAGAGTTTTTTTCGTCGCCTTCTGAGTTGGCCTCAGGCCTTGATCTCTCTTTCCATATCTGAGACCCATGACAGGCTGGCTGGTCTCAGGGCTGCTGTGTGCCAGGCCTTCATCACACGTGTCCCTCAGCACCCCGCCCTGCCTGGGACAGCTCCTGCCGCCGGCTCCCAGAACCACTCCTTACGTGACGCTCATGAGAACTGCCACCTTGTATTCCACCTTCAGGTGAAATTTGCGCCGATTAAGGCATGCCATTGGCGCCCAGCGGTGGAGGTCAGAGCTCAGCTCGGCCTGTGTGGCTTGGCCTCGGTAAAACCTCTGCATCGCTGATGGTTTTCAAGGCCTGTAAAACTAGGTCTTGCGCTTGGGCTGGTTTCCATTTCCCTTGGCAAGGAGGTGTTGTGTTGAAACGTTTCTTTGGGTGGTTCCTCTGCCTCTCTCCCCAGCAGCCTGCCTGATTATTTCGGCTCCGTGACCCTTGGGAGCTCCTGACTCACCAGGGGTATCGGATTATTTGTGGTGGCTGGAGCATGGCCACTGTATGTGTTGATCGCAGCAGGGGCCTGTCCTGTCTCAGCAGAGCCCAGGAAGCCGCTTGTCCGCGTTCACGTGTCTGTCTCAGCTCATCCCCCATCCTGGCATTTATCTCACCTGTGAGTGCCTGACCCCTCCACAGAGCTCCCACTGGCCCCTGCTCCTTATCTCTTTCCCACTAAGCTGATCCTCTCTGTGGGGGCATTTATCACCTCCAGAGCCGTGGGGGCTCCCCACTGTTCTGTGCTGTGGCTGATTTCTGACCTCCCACAACCAGCTCCCTGGCGCATTCCCTCACCTGGAATGTCCCCTGCCCGCCAAGGTCCTGCCTCCCCCACAGAACTCTCACTTCTGGAACTGCAGACGTGAGCATTTCACTGCATACTGACCTCTGATGGGTGTGTGTGTGCTTCAGGATGTCCCCGCTTTCCCAGACGAGGGCTCCCACCTCTTCTCTGTGTGCCCTCCAGGCTCGGCTCTGGGCACCAGAAGCAGTTTCTGATCTGTGGACATGCTGGGAGGGAGCAGGCCAAGGAAGACCCCTTCTCCAGCCTCCCACAGTGCCATCCCAGCTATCGCTGTTTTTGTTTTAACCAAGCTGTACCTGACTTCATTAAAGAGACTTTCTCATAAGCAGCTGTGGCATTTCAGGATGACCAAACACTGAATCACCGTGACACTGGGTGCAGCCTGCATTTGTGGCTCTGACCCGGGACCCTTCTCACATACTATGTTGTCTAACAGCTTTTCACCAGAAACCCCGTCTTTGGGGAAATGAAATGGAAAAGGCAGAATTCTCCCTTCTAAGACCCATGATCTGACAACGGGAGCCATGGCTTTTTTGAGTGACACCATCTCAGTGTCGTCGCTGGGCTGTCTGCCTCACACACTGCATCCACCCCCTGTCGAATTTGGGGGGCCAGGTCGTCTGGGTTGACGGTGGGACAGCGAGGAGAAGAGGCTGCAAGGACACTGGAGCACACTTCCATTCCCCACCGCGCTGGTGTCTGTGCCAAAGGGTCATGTGCACCTGTGTCAGAGAGCCCTTCTGCCACCAAACCAAGAGGAATTCTCTGAAAAAAAAGTTTGATCCATTCAAGTTTCTGAGACATTCTCTGTTAGTGACATTTACCTCTTCCTCAAGAACAAAAATCTTCATCAAAGAACACAAAAACTGACCCTAGCCAGTTTGCTCAATGGGTAGAGCATTGGCCTGCAGACCAACGGGTCCCGGGTTCGATTCCGGTCAAGGGCAGGTATCTTGGTTGCAGGCTCCTCCCTGGCCCGGGCCCTGGTCGGGCGTGTCCATGTGTTTCTTTCACATTGACGTTTCTCTCAGTCTTTTCCTCTCTCTTCCACTCTCTCTAAAAGATCAATGGAAGAATATCCTCAGGGGAGGATTAACAAAAACACACACTCACACATAAAAAAAAATAGCTGTGTGACAACAAAAAGCTAAACAAAGCTCTTTTATAAAATTTGATAAGAAATGTTATTTAGGCTGTGTGTTCACCAGATGTACACGGCCTCAAAATAGCACCCCTAGTCTCCGGGACCCGGCTGCATGGACCCCATTTTCTGCAGGCCTTTCTATCCTGGCCAGCTAGGAGCCTCCCTTCTCCCCTTAGGTGTTCCTCCCCCTTATTTGCAGGGGCCTGGCTTTCCTTATTCTGGTAAAAGATTTATAATCTAAAACTAGCCATTTTAATGATTTTAAGTGTGCAATTTAGTGGCATTGGTTCTTTTCACGTGATTGAGCAACTACCACTACTATCTATTTCCAAAACCTTTTCATCACCCCAAACAAACTGTGTACCCATGAAGCAATAACTTCCCATCCCTGCCCCCATCCCTCATAACCTCAATCCCACGTTCTCTGTGACTGTGTCCGTTGTAGATATTCCATGGAAGTGGAGTCACACAGTAGTTGTCCTTTTATGTCCGGCTTCTTTCACTCAGCCTAGTGTTCTCAAGCTCGCAGGGGTTTCTGGCTGGGCTCCGGCGCTGGAGCAGCAGGTTTAGCTAATCAGCTTGGAGAGCCTCTGCTTTCCGCCACCTGGGCCCATCACTTGCTTCTTCTCCAGCCCATCTCTCGGTGGTGATGGTGGAGGGCAGTCTTCGGCTAGTCCCAGTGTCGTTCGTACACTCAAGTCCCAGCTCATGAACAGAAGTAGGCACCAGGGAGAACTTTGGCCTGGAGTCCTGGAGGCAGGAGCTGGAGGCCAGAGAACAGGTAACCAAAACTGTTTCTCCAGGGAGAGGGCGAAAGCAGGGTCAAGTGACTAAATGACTAAGTGAGATGGGTCCCAGCAGGTGGCTCCAGGACTTCAAGCTTGGTCATAGCAAAAGACATCCAAAGCGGGACTGGGACAGGGGAGAAGTGACAGGCTCTCTTTTAGCCATGCTTCCTGTCTTCCTTGACTTATTCCTGTGCCATTTTCATCTGCCCTGTGTGCCACCCACAGGGCCACCTAAGATGCAGAACTACGCAGTGTCCATTGGCTGGATTGTCCGTGGCAGCAGCCTTTGAAGAAGGCAGCTCAGCCAGAGATTTTAAGAGTTACCGAATATTCCTGCCCTTCAACCCATGAATTCCATTTCTTGGAATTTGTTTTAAAAAGAAAATGATCAGAAATTTGGAACAATACCCACACACAAATATGTTTAGCGCAGTGTTGTTTATAATCACCAACAATAGGACACAACATAAATAGTCATTCATAAGGGAATAACTTAAGGAAAGTATGGTAAAATAGTACACAGCTATAAAAATTACATTTGTAAAGCAAAACAAGATTTTTATTTATTTTTGTTAATCCTCACCCAAGGATATTTTTCCATTGATTTTTAGGGAGAGTGGAAAAGAGAGGGAAAGACAGAGAGAATCATCGATGTGAGAGAAACACATCAATTGGTTGCCTCCTGCACACACCCCAACCAGGGCCTGGGCTGGGGAGGAGCCTGCAACCAAGGTATGTGCCCTTGACTGGAATCAAACCCATTGGTCCGCAGCTGACACTCTGTCCACTGTGCCAAACTCGACAGGGCCAAAACAAGATTTTGGATCGTGAAGGAAATGCTTATGACAAAATGTTAAACAAAAAAAAATTTTTTAAGCAAGCTACAATTTTCTGTGTGCATTCTGATATCAAGGACATAAAGAAGAGAAATCACGGGGGCGGGGGGGTGGGGAGCGGCGAATAAACAGAAGCATATGCCAAGCTGCTTAGTGCAATTATGGTTTTTTTTGTTGTTGTTTTTTCTTTACATCTTTCCACACTTTGCAAATGCTCTACAAAAAGAACACACATTACTTTGATCTTTAGGACAACAAAGCAATAAATGGGAGGAACAATGTTCCATGTGATAAAGGAGGAACCAGAATTTTGGGGGTGGAGGCCCAGAGCTGTGAGCCATATGGTACCTGACAGTGCTTTTGGGGGATGCGGTGGGGGTAGGAGATGGGTTGTGGGGGGGTGGCATGTGTGCACCACAAAGAGAGCTGGCTTAGCTCGAGGTTGGAAACATAAATGCCTTCAAGGGCCTGGCCAGTATCATAACTGAGTGAAAGTGAACAAAACAATAGGGAGTGGTGGGGACTGTGGCAAAATGGAGAGCTCACACCCTCTAAAAGCAGCGGCTGCCGCACAGCTGCAGTGGTTGGTGTGGGAATACGGGCCCAGTGTGTCCAGACCTTCCGTTTTTCAAAGCCAAATATCCCTGAGTTTTTAAATGTGAACTCTCTTATTAAACACTGGCACCTAATTGAAAAATATTTTCAGTGGCATGCAGGCCACATCTACGGGCCAGTCATGGTGGGCGAGCTGTCCATGTGTGGCCTCTGGCCCGTTCTTTCCTTCCCACAGGCTGTGCTGAGTTCTCCATGTGGGTGACAGGGTGTGCTGCCCCCGTGGCCCACAGCACAGACTGAAAGGAGTTCCTTTTGTTCTTTCTGCCAGAAAACGAGCCTCCCTCTCCTCTGGTCTCTGGGATTATTGATTACAACATGCCCCTCACCTCCACATACCTGAAGCAGATGAAGTTGCGCGTGATGAATTCCCAGGAGCAGGTAAGTCTCCCGTCTCCCCTCACCCCACCTGGAAGCGTCCTAACTTGCCTGGATGTGGCTGATCCTTCCCAAGATGTGGGGCCACAGCCTGTGTAAACACACTGGAAATCAAAGAGGCCCTTATCTGGTTATCTGGGCTGTGCCGTCAGGCTGAGAGGGGAGGGAAAGAATGTGTTCCTAGTTAAAGGGTCTGCTGGGCAGACAGCCCTGCTGGGTCTTCAGTGAAACCCAGGGAGCTCACGCTTCACAAAACTTGCCCCGAGGGCAGGGCAGGGAGGGGGAGGCGCGAGCTGCAGACCTTGGCTCTTGGGTGGTTCTGTCTCTGCTCTGCCCTTTGTCTGCTACTCCTCTCCCCAGGGAGACGAGGGAGGAGGGGCCCTGCCTGCCAGCCTGTGGCCTCTGTCACTCTTGGGGCCCAGACAGGCCAGGAGGATGGGCCCTGGCGGGTGGCCCGAGTGAGATAAGGCCCCTGGCTGTCCAAGACTCCCCAGCTGTGGACTGCCAAGGGCTGTCAGGCACCGTGGAAACAGGCTATTAAAAGAAAACCACTCTTGCCTCCCTCCCCACACAGTACACCTTCTAGCCCTTCGCAAAGCAAGTAGCCTGACTGTCTGTCTCTCAAAGGGGGGCAAGTGAGCGCCACCCTCTCCCTCCATCGCCGCCTAAAACCAGGGCCATAATCTCCCCTCCAGCTTCAAGGGTTCTCGTCTGTTGTGACATCTGAACTCTCCCTGTCTTTGTGGCCTGAACAGGGGAATGGGTTCTTTCAAGGAAAGTCTGACTTCCAGCCCTGGGTGCATGCTGTCTCACTTACTGCCGGTCTCCTTGACAACCTGAGCACGTGCTGTCACGGGAGCGAAGGGGGCGAGGGGGTGATAGCTCCAAGGTGACGTAGCAGGATGTGTCCTGGTAACGTCTGGGCCTGTGGCACCCAGTTTGAGGATTTGAGCTGTTTGGCTTGAACATACCAAGCCTGCGCTCCCCTAAGGAGGAGGGAGGGTGTGCCAGCCACGATCAGCCCCTAAAGGTTTAATGAGGTACGCTACGCTCTGGGTGGTAGAGCTGTTTGTGTCTCTGTGTCTCCAGTGTTTTCTTTCCCGAGAGTGTCTGTTCTGTGATGGTTGCATCCCTAAGAAATGTCCAGCAATCAAAGATAACGTCAATGGGGAAAGTGGCATTGGGGTTTCATACTCGCAGAAAGAACTTTGCCGTGGCGCTAGAACCGGCCTGTGGCCCCTGTCACGCTGTGGCCACCGCCAGGACCGGTAGTAGTCAGCATAGCCCACCTGTGATCCCTCATTAACGGATCCTGTTATATTTCATCTGGTTATACAAAGTCTTACCGTCTGGGGGGTGGGGGGGGATCAAGACTGTTGGCTAGATATATTAGCAAGGATTTGGGCCTTCAACAAATATTTATAGAGCCCTACTCTGTGACCTGGGGATGAGCAAAGGCAGCACCATTCCTAGTTCTCCTGATCTAGACAGACACTAATGATAAAATCACACACAAACACCCAGCTCCTAGCAGGTAGCCATAAATAGTCAAGGGAGAGATCAGTCAGCCGTCACGGTGCAGCTGTAACAAGTGTCCTGCAGTGGGGCACGTGGTGCTCTGAGTACTTAGATGTGTGTGGGGGGTGGGGGGGCGGGGCCGGGTCAGGGAAGGTTTGCCTCAGAAAGGGACGTTTGAGCTGAGACCACGACCTGAAGGGAACAGAGCGCCAGGCCTCAGCTTGTGCAAGGGCCCTGTGGCTCGCGGAAAGATAGCACCAGCGAGAATCCGAGGGCTGGTGAGGCTGGTGCAGAAACCGTGAGGAGTTCTACTGCTAAACAAAGGAGAGAGCACAGTGTGAGGCACCTGGTGGATATCTGTGAACGAACTGAAGTTCCTGAAGTGAGATGGATAAATTGTCCCGGTGAGGTCTGGCTACTCCCAAAGGAAGGGAGGATTGTGGGAAGGCATTTTCCCAGGGTGCTCTGAGAACCCAGCTGGGCTGAGGCTGAGGCTGAGGCTGAGGCTGCGGTGCCCTCTCCTTACAGTGGCGTTGACTGTGTCTTCCTCGCCTTCATTCTTAGCTTCCCAGATGGGGCTCTCTGAAAGTAGTTATTTCTCCTGGGTGCTGCCGGAGATCAAAGGGGCAGACCCTCCCTGCACACCTGGCAGAGGAGCAGCGTCCTGCCTCGTACCTAGGGCCTTTCATCTGTCAGTCTCCAGCACTCCGTGCACAGCAATGAGCTCTCAAGGCCTCTGCCTCTCCGGCAGCACTGTTACCCCTCTTTTATAGCCGGGCACATAGCAAAACAAAAAATCACATGCTCACCAGATTATTTATCTACAGCAGCAAGGAAGGGCCAGGGACCCCGAAGACTTGGGTTTTTCAGCTTGTAAAAACACACGTATTTGAACTGATAGCTTCTTTCCTGTAGCAGAGCCAGAGCAGGCCTCCCCTGGGGGTGGGTGCATAGGCCCCTATTCGAACTCAGCCAGGGGACTGGCTCTGCTCTATCAAATCTCGCTTCTCAAGACCAGGCTCCAAAAGTAGTTTCATTCCTTGCCCATCACTCTGACCAGGACACGCAGAGGACACCTGGAGTGTTTGCAAATCAATCACGCAGGCTACATGGAAAATAAACCAAATCTAAACTCACTGGGAGCCAGGACAAATGGTATTTTATTAATGCCGAGCACAGCTCTACATCTGAGAACTCTGGTGAAAAAATCCCAATAATTCATCTTTCCCATCCAAGAGACAAACCGTCAGGCAAGTAGAACATTTCCCTCGCTTTGCTTTGGGCAGACAAGGACAGGTGGTGGGGTTTCCTTGTGAAACGGACAGAATCACATTGCTTGTGCTCCAGTCGTGTCAGATCAATGTGCTGGGAGATGGGTCCTTCTCCACGAGGGTGTTAGGTAAAGTGAAAACCCAGCATAGCAATATTCACACAAAGGAAACATGTTCCTCTTGAGTTCTGATTCAATGCGGCAGAAATTTATGGTGCCCTCAGTGTGCAAGGCATTTAGGGGTCAGCCTCCACCCTCGCAGGACTTCCGTCCTAAGACACAGACCAGACCCCGGGAGCTGTCATTGAAGTGGCCACATTGAGCTGAAAATAAGAGAGTGTAGCCTGAGAAAAATCTCTTTTTTTTTTTTTTCATTTTTGTTCTTACTGGTGAAACTCTCATAAAGATATAAAACTGAAATTCACATTCAATTGTACTGATGATGAATACATTTCTTATAGGGGGCAGGATAGGAAGGGTTCTGTGCATGTAGACTTACTCTGCGCATTCTCTGATAAGAGGAGGGTCCAGGGAGGGATGCAGGCAGCACTCACAGGGCAGGCCCACCAGCAAGCGCCATCCCAGCAGCTGATCTCGCAAAGCCCTTTCGGGGCTGTCTGTGTGCGATGCTCCAAGCGTGCTGGGCCTCTTCCTCACGCTGCCACTGGTTTTGTTTTCTATCCCATTTGGGTTCCTTTCATACTCTCAAAAACATTAATTACACAAGTAATACACAGGTAATACTTTAGTAGAAGAATCAGTAGCCAAAAAAGCAAAAGCACGGTGATAAAAGTCACCATCATCCCACCACTCAGATCACTGAATCCTTTGGTGCCCACCCTTCCAGGCTGTTGAACAGAAAGGGGATTATCCTTTATGCACCCCTTTTACAATCTGCTATGTTTCTCTGGCGCTTATTTCCCATGTTATTTGAAGTCTCTTTGACCTTCGGGCCTTGATGTTTCCACTTGTCAAATGAGCTGGTTATATAATTTTCCTGTCATTCCCTCACTTCTTCACCCATATCCACCCATCTATCCATCTATCCATCCATGTGCACCTGAGCCAGGTGCCAAGGAGACAGTGGTGAATAGAGCCCTGTCTCTGCCTTGCCTGCTCTCACAGTTCAATGAGAGAGGCAAGGAGAAACAAAAGAAAGAGCTTAGGAGAGGAACAGACCAGAAACAAGGGAGCCAGCAGGGTGGGTGCTGTTCCAAGCAGGTGGGTCATTAGTGGGGCGCCTGTTCTGTGTGCAGTACTGTCCACGCTTTGCCCTTCACCCTCACCATTCTTCAGGGTCATGTTATTATCCTCGTCTTACAGACGCCTTGGCTGAGGCTCCAAAAGGGTCAGCACTTGCTCAAGGTCACACAACCACTAATGTGAGTGGAAACTCAGACCTTTCCCATCCCTGAACCTGTGCACCTGCCTGGGCCCCAAGCCCTGCTCCTCTCCCCACCTCCTGGAGGAGGATGCGGTCCAGTATTGCCCCAGGCGCTGGTGGAGGGAAAATGTCCGTGGCAGCGATGCTAGCAGGGCAGGCTTTGTTTGCCCGGTAACGGGGACCACCCTAAATATATGGTGCCTAAGGAAATACGTGAAGAGGAATTTGACAGGGGCCAGGGTTGGGGTGAGGTGGTCTTCCTTACCTCGTGAAGGCTCAGTTATCTGCAGAGGCACATCTGCAATTTGATATCCACATTATGGGTGACTTTATTCTGATTGTTCCTGAGATCCCAGTGTTTGGACCCGCGGTAGAAATCAGATCCAGACCCGGAAGGAGAGAGACAAATCGTCTGTGCCTTCCCGGACACACGCTTTCATTTTATAGAAGTGGAGGCTGAGACCCCAGAGGTGCAGCGACTTTCCCAGGGCACCCAGAGTGGGAGGGCCGTCAGCACCTTCCTCCGCCTCCCCTCTCTCCCCCATGCTTGGAGCAGCGCTAATGTCCCACTAATGGTTTTAATGGTTCTCCCAGCAGTGTGTGAAGTGGTGCACGGCTCCATTGTTTAAGCCCGCGTGATGGAGGCTCTTACTTGCTTCCATTAACCTCTGCCTCCCTCCTCCGCCTTCTGCTCCTGTCCCAGAGTTTTCCTTAGGTCCTGGAGGGTCTGGGAGGAGGGGCAGGACTCCTCCTTCCCTTGACATGTAAGTGGGGTCCGCGACTTTCCCAGGGCACTCAGAGGATCGGTAGCCTCTGCCCAGGGGTCCTGGC